GGCTTGCAGAGTGCAGCCACTGTGCTCCCTGCCTGGAGGTCTGAGAGGCACCTGTTCTGCTACCTGTGAGCTCTCCAGTGACTTCATCCTGCCACCTCTCTGCCAGCCATCTCTGCTGCCATGCTGCCCACGGGCTCCTTCCAGCTGGGCACACCTACCAAGCATGTTTGCACGTCAAGGCCTTTGCATACACTCTTCCTTCTGCTTAAAAAGTCCAGGACTTTCCATGGCTGTGACCGCATCATTCAATCGCAACTCACATGGATCATGAAAAGAACTGTCCCAGACCAAACTCCCCAGTGGGCCCCGGCTCTAGCATGCCCCCTTTTTATCCTTTTCCAAGCACCTTCTACTACCAGAGCCTTCTCCTTTCTGCACATGGCCCTTACCAGAATGTGGGCTCCTCGCAGGCAGGGACTCATCGCTGCCGCACCCCCAGGGCTGGGGCGGGAGTCTGGTAGACACTGGGTGCTCAACAAATGTTTGCTGACTGCCTGACCTGAGAGACCAATAGACCGGATCAGGTGAATGAGCAAGGCCCCTCTGAGAGAGTGCGTGGGCAAACTCCAGGGTGGGCTGTGGCCGGCGTGTTCTGAAGGTGATGCCGACAGGCCAACCTCACAAATGTGACCCCAGGGAACCATGTTCCCTCCTGAGCAAGTGTGGGCAGCCAGGAGAGGGTGTGGTGAGGATAGAGTTGGGGACAGCGGCAGGGTCAACAGCACACCTGACCCACCCAATGGGAAGGCCTTCGCTGCAAAGGCGTCTGGGAGTCAGCACAAGTGCCTGACCCAAGGCCCCGTGGACAGAGAGGAGCCCCTGCAGCCGGCGAGGAAGCCATGGTGCCCTGCAAAGCCAGGCTTGCCTCCTGAGCACCGTCAGCATCCCTCCAAACAAATGCTGGTATCCAGGATGTGGCTACACTCAGGAATGTGGAATAATAGGAAATGTCTGCAGCTTGCAGGGTGGGAGCCAGACAACAGAGTACGAAGGAAGAAGGAAAGAGAGGACTTGGAGGCAATTCCATAGTAAACGAAAGCTCATCCTGTCGTCTTCTCCTTCAGTTTAGGAGATGGGCCGGCCCTGGCCTCACCTTAAAGTGTGTGTGTTATTTATAGGGATGAGGGGAAAAATCAACCTAATTTTTAGAAATGAGTAGGCTTTTGTATCATGGCCTTGGATCACGTGTTTGCCAGGAGACTTTATGGGGTAAAACAAGAAAGGGGGGACTAGATTCAATTGCCACCCGCAAGCCTCATGGGGCATACAGGTCTCTGACTGCTCTAGAGCCTCAGTCTTCCCACCTGTAAAATGGGGCGATAGCATGTGACGCACCTCACAGGTTGTGCCAAGGATCAAATGAAGACAGACATTTCACAGACTGGAGAGTCTTCTAGAATGTCACTGTCTCTGCCTTTAAGCACCACTGGCGAGCGGGTATGACTCAGTTACATAAACAAAGAAAAGCCCAGGGCACTGGGTAGGCTTCCATGTAGAGAAATTGATAGTGGTTTCAGGGGAGACTCCGAGTCTCAAGGCCCCACTAGACTCACCCCAGATTGGACAGCGTGGATCATGACAGCTGACGAGACAGAGGCTGGAGCCAAGCTCAGGCAAGGGGGGCCTCAGAGGGGAGCCGGTTGCAGGGCACTGCCCTGAGCCTCCTCCATTCCAGGCCAGAGGAGAAGATGAGTCTTTATCCACAAAATGCCCTCACAGGCATGCACAGTGGTGTCAGGAAGGGACGCAGCTTTCAAGTTTGCAAAGTCCCCCAAGCTGCTGCCCAGGTGCCTCTGCTCTGATAAGTGACGAGCAGGTGGCTGGGGCGGCCAGTCCAGCAGGTTCTTTGATGCAGCCTTCCTCTTCCTTAGTCCCAGCGGCCTTTTAAGTTTATCCGAGTGCCCTTCAGAGCGCCTGGGCCGGATGCCCTTCCCTCACGGCAGTGCCTGCACGCGCCTCTGCTCTGCCCGCAGTCTGCGGGCCGGAATTTGGGTTTGGTTGGGTCCGTGGCAGGCCCCTCAACAGAACACATTTAGGAACCTCTGCTGAAAGGGATCCGTGCACAGTGGCAGTCACCCCTGAAGTGACGCAGCCAGTCCGCCTCTCAGAGCCATCAGCCAGGAGGGCACGCATCCGCCGACCACAGCTAAGTTCAGAGGCGAAGAAAGGGCCCCAGGGCCGCTTGGGTTCACGTGTCCGACCCGTCACAGGGGCTGAAGAGGCAATGAGTCACGTTGGACCTCACTTCTCCTTGCCTTGAAAGTTGTGGTTTCAAATGTCTGGACTCCCTCCCCTCCTCCTGCCGACTGAGTTGCTCCTATGTCAGAGAAATACTATGCCACAACGTGTCAGCTCTGGATGTCCCATGCGTTACCAGCCGGAAAATGTCACCCTCCCTCTCTGTAGCCTGCATTTCACGGGGATGAATGCTGCCTGCCTTCCCTCCATCTGTCTGACCCTTGCTGGAGGCCCAGCTCCAGAGTTTGCGAGGCCCGGAGTAAAATGAAAACGTGGGGCCCTGTTCAGTGCAGCATTACACCAGGAGCGGGGACCTCTGAGCTCGGGGCCCTGTGCGACTGCAGGGGTCACATGCCCGAGAAGCTGGCCCTGCCTGTCCTAATACCTTCTACACGAGGCAGACCTCCTCTAAGCACCCCAGGGCATCTTCAGAGCATCCAGGTCTCCCAACACTGCGAGAATGGCAAAGCTTGTATGCAGCGCATTTTCACCCCATATCAAGCGCCCCCGGAGCCCACGGCCCAGTCGTCAGAGGCGAGGCCTAGCACGAGCCCTCCCCCTCCCGGCCTCCTGTTTCCCATGTTGTAAAACACGGGGTCGGACTTTGCACCTTCTGGGCCCTGACAGTCTATAGGTACTTGGGTGTCCCCACAAGATTTGTTACCCTGCAGTACTGTGACCACTCTCGTCATTCTTCAGCAACATGAGCTTCTAGATTTTTCTCTAGAGACCAAAAACCCACCTCTTAGGCAGACCCCGCCTGGATGACATCACAGGGACAATCCTGCAGGCTTTCTCCTCACTCCTCTCCACAAGGCCAATTCACCTTAGACATGGAGGAGAGGGCTGACGTGAGAAGGGGAAGGTCCAGCCGGCAACTCCTTTCGAAGCCACGCCGTTTACACCCAGAGTGAAGCTTTGAGGCCAGGCCCAGGACACCCGTTCCAGCAAACCAGTCCCTACAGCTCAAACCTGAGTGTTTTCTCACAGGCTCAGGTGGCAGCCGGGTCCCACCCCATCCACCTCCTAACGATGAGCTGACTGGCCCTAAGGGTTTTCAGGAGCTGACTTCCTGAGAAGATAAAAGACACATCAGTGGATAGAGCCTGTGTCTACACTTTACCTCAGCGATAGCTTTTTAAGAACAAGACTAGGGGGGCCGGCCCCATGGCGTAGCGGTTAAACGCGCGCTCTGCTACTGGCGGCCCGGGTTCGGATCCCGGGTGCGCACCGACGCATCGCTTGTCAGGCCATGCTGTGGCGGCATCCCATATAAAGTGGAGGAAGATGGGCACAGATGTTAGCCCAGGGCCAGTCTTCCTCAGCAAAAAGAGGAGGATTGGCATGGATGTTAGCTCAGGGCTGATCTTCCTCATAAAAAAAAATTATAAATCAATAAAAAATAAATAAAAATAAATAAAAAAAAAAAAAGAACAAGACTAGGGGCCAGCCCAGCGGTGTAGTGGTAAAGTTCACGTGCTCTGCTTTGGGGGCGTGGGGTTTGCAGGTTCAGATCCCAGGCACGGACCTACGCACCACTCATCAAGCCATGCTGTGGCAGGCAACCCACATATAAAGTAGAGGAAGATGGGCACAGATGTTAGTTCAGGGCTAATCTTCCTCAGCAAAAAGAAGAGGATTGGCAACAAATGTTAGCTCAGAGCTAATCTTCCTCACCAAAAAAAAAAAAAAAAAGAACAAGACTAACACTTCTGGGCTGATAAAGCAATGCCAGGCCTTTGCTTCTAAAGCCTCACTCTGCTCTGACAAGCACTGCCAGACAGGCTTCCCAGCCCTGCTAGGATTCTGTGGTCACCTCAGCGCTTCCAAAGGTGGTCATGGAAATTGCTGGAAGTCCACGGGGCAGCCACTTTGATTTCTGACTGCCAGCCTGGCACAGGCGGAGGGAGGGGCCGCAGGAAGGTGCCGAGTGCCCACTGGGTTCATCTTAGGACCCTATAGCAAAGGCCTGCGGGAGCCCTAGAACAAAACGCCTGGACCCTTGTCTTACAAGAAGAGGAAAGCCATTTTGTTGGGCAGGAGGAGGGGAGAAATCTTGTTAGGAAACCAAGGCGTGGGGGTCCCACTTCTGCTTTCAGTTCCCCATTTGACTATGAAGAGCTTTGTTAGCAAGAAACCTTTTCCAGCTCTTTGGAAGTTGGAATGTAGAAGTAAAGATTTATGTGCCAAGTGTAACTTTCTTTAGGGGCATTTTCTAGGGGCACCTCACCTTCCCTCTCTGTGAAGGGTACTCATCTATCCAGAAAGCGCCTGGGCCTTTGGGAAATAGGGTTCAGAAAGCCAGGCCAGGGCACAATTCTGCGGGACAGCTCAGGACTTGGGGAGATCCCTGCCCATTCCTAGGGAGGCCTGGGCCCAGGTGGGATGCGGGGACAGGTGGCACCTCTCCAGGGCCGAGGGTCCAGAGAATCCAAGGCTGGCAGGGCCATTCAACCCTGCAGCCCCCACCTCCTGCCCGAGGGCTCCTGAAGGTCTGACGATGATGCACTCAGTCAAGCCACCAAGCCACGTGGCTAGTGGCTGGTGGCTAGTGGTGGGTCGGGTCTGGGGTCTGGCTCCAAGGCCTGGTGCGTGACCCCGAGTTCAGGCGCCCCCCGCCCAAAGGCGGAAACGGAGGCCCGGGCCGGCGGCTCCCTCGGGGCTGGCCCTGCGGTGGTCGGCCGGGGCGTGGCCGGGGTCACCGGGGGCAGGAGCGGGCGGCCCCGCCCCGGGGGTGTGTCCGGGCACCGGCGCCGCCACCTTAAGGGCCGGGCGGGGCCAGGGCCAGAGTGCGAGGGACGCCGGGGCGCGGGCTGGAGCGGAGGGGCCCGGGAGATCCGAATCGGGACCCGGATCAGGACTCGGATCAGAACCCGGAGCGGGATCCGAATCGGGACCCTGATCAGGACCCGGCGAGGGAACCATGGTGTCGTCCAGGCCCGTGCGGCTGCTGCTGCTGCTCGTGCTGCTGGCGGGCTCGGCGCGGGCCAACCTCTACTTCCGCCGGGGCCAGAGCTGCTACCGGCCCCTGCGGGGGGACCAGCTGTCCAAGTTGGGGCGCAGGTCCGGCTGGCTTGGGGGGCTGGCCCATCTCCCGGGGCTTGGCGCGCACTCCCGCCCCCTTGGGGTGCCGGGAACCCAGGCCCCTGCCTCTCTGACCTTTGAGGGTGGAATCCAGCCCCTGTGATTGGGGAGTCCCTCTTGCTCTTTGGCATCCAAGGGAGCGCTGGTGTTCGTGGTTGGACAAGCCCCCCCTGTGCCGGGAGCAGGCCGGCCCACCTCCCTGGCCTTTGGGGCTTTGCTTGGGGAGCAGTCTGGTTCCTGCACTTCCGGGGGCCCCTGCCTCCTTCAATTCTGAGAAGGCGGGGTCTCCCAGTGTGACATGGGTTCACCTAGTGATGGAAGTGTTCACCCCCATTCCCTTTCATTCTGGGGAGGGGAGAGGGCACCAGGAGCCTCAGTGATGATTCTGGGGGTGGTGGTCTCTTTCCAGGACATACCCCCGGCCTCACGAGTACCTGTCCCCATTGGATCTGCCCAAGAGCTGGGACTGGCGCAACGTGGATGGCGTCAACTATGTCAGTGTCACCAGGAACCAACACATCCCCCAGTACTGCGGCTCCTGCTGGGCCCACGGCAGCACCAGCGCCATGGCGGGTAGGTGGAGGGCCCTTGGCTCCACAAGGAGGCCAGGAAGCCTCCTTGTCAGGGTCCCAGGGGCCTGTGATTCCATGCCAGGACATTCAGCCTGGGATGGGGGCATCTGAGCCTCTCAGGACTAGGGGAGCTGACCTGTGCCCTCTGCTGCCCCTCACCATCGAGGAAAGGCTGAAGGGACACAGGCTAGACAATGTCTCCGCTGTGCAGGGTGGGCCTGGCTGGGGCCTGTGGGTGGCAGGCAGGACTAGGACTGAAGCCCAGTGACAAGTGGCTCCCAGATGCCTTCTGTCTCCCAGAGCTTGTGACCCCGGCCATTTGGGATCGAACCAGAAATTTAAACTCACCGAACCCCCTGCTGGTGTTTGGGGACATGGAGGTGAAGCTGCTGTTCAGCAGCAGTCACTATGTGAGGTGAAGGCCTGTCCTGGGCTTGGAGTATTGAGTGGGGCTGGCCAGTTTTCTCATCGGGACCTTAGCCAGCTGGCCACGGTGAGGGCAGGAAGGCTTGTGGCGAGGAAGGAGGGGGAGGCTGAGGTCCTTACCGCTTGAGAAGGCTGCTGGGCCTTGCCTTGAGGAGAGGAGGGAGAAGAAGAGACTTCAAACCATCCTTGGGGCCTTCATTCAGCCCCACGCCTGCCTGGTACATGTGGGAGGGGCTCTGCCATCTCCAGGGGGAGCCCAGAGTTCCAGAAGCCTGCACTGGAATTCCATTGGAGAAGGGACTCTGTAACTGGGAGTGAGGCCTTGGGTGCATTGCCTCCTGCCTGACTTGGGTATCTCACGGGGCAGTCTTGCTGTAGGTATGGCATTGTGTTAAACGGATTAACAGCCACGTGGCTACTGCTGCTTGCCAAGGCTCGGTGGCATCATCGCCCTTGTCTGTGCCTCTTCTCATTTAAGCCTCCCAGCTGCACTGCGGTTGCTCCCAGTTTGCAGATGAGGAAACAGACACTCTGGTAGGAAGGTCAGGAGACTTTGCCATGGTGTGAGTGACAGCCGAGAGTAGAACCCAGAAGCCTGGGCTTTGGGCCAGGACCTCTGCTGGGCTGTCTTTAGGACGAGGAGTGGAGTCTGGACCCCAGAGCCAGCTAGCTGGGGCATCTGGGGCATCTGGCGGGGTCTCCCTGGTGGCCCTGCCCTGTCTCTCTCTTCTGACTCTGCAGGTGGTCTGAGGCTCTGGTTCAAGGTACTGGAGCCCTTGCTGGCGGCTGAGAAGGCCCTCTGACTGGAGTGGAGATGGACAAGGCCCTGGAGAAGGGGGAGCCAGAGGCTTAACCTTACTGGAGCCACTGGGAGACCTTGGGCCAAGCGGGCAGGCAGGGTGTGGGCAGGGGCCTTGAGGCCGAAGTTCAGGGCAAAGGCTGGGGCAGGAGTGGAGCTGGCTTTGAGGAACTGAAAGAGGGCCTTTGTGGTGGGGCCCTAAGGGTGGGGGAGGGGGAGCTGAAAAGGTCTTGGGGAGGGGAGGGGCCTGGCAGAAGCCTTGAGGGATCTCAGAGGAGGAGTCATGTGCTAAGACTGCATTTGTAAAAGACTGCAGGGCGGGGAGTGGAGGGGCTGGCTGGAGGTGGGCCCTTGACGTGCTCCCTCTTCAAACAGGTCTTGGCTGGGAGGGTTAACCCTGCCACATTTCTGGAGTGGAATCTCTCTCCTGGGCAGACGACTGCTTTTGCCTCTTTCTCCCTAACCTTCTGAAACCTTCCACAGCAGCAGGTCCCTTCTTCCTCTTTCGCTGAGAAAATAGAAGCCCCCAGAAGGGGACTTCCACAGGCGCAGGCCCAGCTGGCCGTAGTTTGCCTTCCTTCCTGTCCAAGCCCCTCGTTCACTGTGAACAAATGAGCAGGGGCCTCAACACCACCCCACCTCAAGCCACCACCCCACTTCTGGGCTCCTCTCCTCTGTCCTTGAACCACTCCACCGGCCCCGCCCTTGCCAAGGTCGCTGGCCACCATGCAGGCAGGTCCAGTGCCAGCTCCCAGGCCTCACCCCGCTTGGTCGAGCTTGCCCAGCTCTCCAGATGCCTTCCTGGCCTTCCACCACACGGCCGGGTCTCCTTCTTCCTCCCTGGACGTTCCTCCCAGCTCCTTGGCCAGCTCCTCATCCTCTCAACTTCCCAACATCAGCTTCCCCAAGACTTAGTCCTTTGCTTCATCCAGACCCTTCACCTGAACTCGACCTTGACACCCAGCTGCCCTCTCTCTCTCTCTCCCTCTCTCCCTCCATCCTCCCTCCCTCCTCCCTCTGTCCCTCTGCCTCTCCCTCTCTCTCTCTCTCTCTCTCTCTCTGTCACCTTACACCACAAACCTCACATGTTCAGATCTGAACAGCTGGTCTTTTCCACCGCTACCCTCATCCCAAAAACTCAGCTCTTCTCGGGTCCTCTCCAGCTCACTAAATGATGGGTCATCCTTCCCTTTTCTCAGGCAGGAGCCTAGAGCCACCCCTGATTCCTGTGTCTTATCCCCCACATAGATTTGTCGCTTCTACTTTCAAAACCTATTCCCAACTCATCTGCTTCTTACCACCTCCACCGCTGCGCCCCGGCCTGAGCCGCCGCGCGGGGGACTGGTCTCCTGCTTCCTCCCTGGCCTCCCTGTCATCAGGTTCCAAACAGCTAGAATGAGCCTGTTCACACCCAGGTGGGATCACGTTTCTCTTCTGCTTGAAACCCTCTAAAGATTTCACGCAGATAAAGACAGAAACCTTCCTTGACCTACAAGAGCCCATGTCAGCTGGCTCCCTGTTCCGTGTGGGGACCCAGTTTGGATGCCAAGGGCTGAAGCCCAGGAGGTACCTTCTCACGCCAAGTACCTGCTCTCCCAGATACCCTCCCTCCTTCCCGTGGATGCCACCGAGAGGTCCCCAGCCACTCTCTGTAAACGATACCCCCCAGCGTTCTCTCCCCTCTTATTTTCCTCCTGGCACTGCGTTCTTCATGTGTCCGCATTTACATTTGTTTATTGTCCTGCCTCCGCCATTCTGTGAGCCACATGTGGGTCAAGGCTTCTGTCTGCTTTGCTCTCTGCTGTAGTCCCAGCCTGGCACACAGTGGGTGTGAACCTGCACCTATGGCTACACGGGCAAGACGAGGAGCAGGTGGGGAGGGACTGAAGAGTTGTGTTTGGGCCGCGCTAAGGAAGCGTGTTTGTGGGTGGGTCAGGTGGGGACTGGATACAGGAGTGAGGAGTGGGGGGAGAGGCCGGAGCTGGGCGTGGCTGCCCTTACTTGGAGGGAGGGAGTGGGCTCTGGTGAGGCACAGGGCAACCGAGGACAGTCGTGTGCTGGAAGCCCAGGGCAGGAGGTGCTTCCAGAAAGATAGAGTGGCCAGGCTGCTGACCGCTGCTGGAGAGGGCCTGGATCAGATGAGGATGCGGAAGTAGCCATTAGAATTGACAGCGTGGAGACCATGGGCCTTGACCAGAGCGACGTCGGCAGAGGGAAAGGGACGCAAGCGTGCTTGGCTGGGGCTGAGGAGAGAGCGGGCGGTGGAGTGGAGACAGTGGGAGGACAGCTGTCATGCTTGCTGAGCTAGGAGGCAGAGAACTGCGGCGGTACGTGGAGGTGGGTGCCAGCCCAAGTGCTCGTGTAGGTGCCCATGTGGCGGGAGGGAGGGACTCGGGGTCTGTGTGGGCCTTGGGGGGAGACATGCCACCTGCTGTCACGGGAAATAGGCTTGTGGATGCAGAAAATTGGTAGACTGGGTGGTGGAAAAATGAGGGACCTGCTTCTCACTCACCACCTCCGGAGGTGCCCTCCTCGGCCCCCCTCCAGCCTGGGGGCTCCAGGAGGGTAGGGACTGTGTCTTGTGTTCCTGGCACTGTCTTTGGTGCCGGGCCCAGCTGGCACTGGTGGTTGAGTTTTCATCCTTTCAGCCCTTCAGCCGGCACTTGTGGGGCATCTACAGCTAGGCAGGACCAACCTGGCCCTGCCCGCATGGTGCTTACGGTGGGTGGGCAGACACATCCATGCCTGGGAGGGGCCGGGGGAGGCCTCTCTGCAGAGCCGAGACCTCCTGAAGGGGTCTGTGGGAGAAGGCAGCCGGAGCAGCAGGCAGGGTGGGGTGGGTGCTGACCGGGAGTGGGTGCTGTCTTGCAGATCGGATCAACATCAAAAGGAAGGGGGCATGGCCCTCCGCCCTGCTGTCTGTGCAGCAAGTCATCGACTGCGGCCATGCAGGCTCCTGTGAGGGAGGCAATGATCTGCAGGTGTGGGAGTACGCCCACGAGCACGGCATCCCCGACGAGACCTGCAACAATTACCAGGCCAAGGACCAGGGTAGGCTCTGCCGCCCCCACCGCCTGCTTCTCAGGGAAAGTGGGGCCTGGAGCCTAAGGCAGCCCACACTTCGCAGGCTCTGTGGCCAGGGCGCTGGGGGGAGGCGGGACAGAGATGGGAGTCCCCTGCCACCTTCAGCCTCGTGGGTGTGGGGCAGCAGGAAGCTGGAGCCCGTAGTCCTTGTTGAAAAAACCAACAGTCTTCTGGGGAGGGGTGTCTCCAGCTTTGCATCCCCTCTGGCCGGGCCTGGCTGTGGGGTTTGGGTTCTGACATTTTGGTGGCTTTGTGGGCCTCTGTAAGGGAGAGGTGCGTGTAGCCCTTGTCGAGGAAAGAGTAAGTTTTCCAGGAGTTGGGTGGGGAGAGTAGGCAGGCCGCTGCCCTGAACTGGAAGCAAGAGGGCCCAGCTGGAACACAGCATCAGCCTGGTTCCCACCCCACAACCCTGGGCCTGGGCTGTGCACATTCAGGTGGATTTGGAGCCAAGGGGGTGCTGCATGGACCAGCAGACCTCAGCTGGCCTGGAATTCCTGGAGTTGGCACATTCCTTTCAGTCTGCTCCCCTTGGAAACCAAAAGAAAGGAAAAGTCCAAACCTCAGACCCATAATTTGCAGTTTTAAGTCACCTGCCCCTGTCAGAGCTCCCTCGTAGTCAGAGCAGAGACCCGGGACGAACTCAAAAGGCTGTTTGAGACAGGAAGGCAGGAGGATGGGGGGAGCCTGGGCGCTCTTCCGCCGCTGCCCTCTCTGTCTACGAAGGGGTTGCTCTAGACCCTGTGCCCGCTGAAGTGGCACAACGTACTCTAGCACCATCTCACGCCCACGGGATGCCCTCACGTGGCCTCCTGGGCCATATGGCCCAGCCAGAAGGAACTCTCCCAGGCTGGTTGGGTGAGTCTTGTTAAGTGGTAAACACAGCAGGGGTCAGAGAACCAAGAGGGACAGATGAAAGGGAGGAGGGAAGGCCCAACAGAACGGTATCAGGTGGTCCCTGGGGCTGCACCCGCCCTGCCCTGCGTGGCCCTGCCCCGAGCTAGTCTGGTCCAGCCTAGGCCAGGCCCCTCTAACCCACCTAGCATGACAGGGGCAGATGGAGCGCATCAGGAACCTGATTGTTTGCAACAAGTAGTCTTGTCTTTGTATTAGCAAATGTGGCCACAGATCCACCATTTCCGGTTGTGCTGGGCACTGGGCATCTGGTGTCCAAGGGACACACTGAGCCAACAATTTAATCCTTAAGGAGTTTAATGTCCTGGGGGAGGAGTCTGGACAGATATGAAGCTATAACGGCCAAAGGTAGCATGAGAGCAGTGAGCAGGCAGGCCGAGGGCCCGAGGCAGCATCTAGGACTGAGAAGTGAGGCTGTCGAGGGCTGGGAGGAACGCAGGGGATGGTGTGGGTTCTTACAGAACTAAGAGCTGCATTTTTTTTTTTTTTAGCCTAATTCTTGATACCTCCTCAAACCAAAATAATCAGAAAATGCTTACTTTTTTCCAAATGTATTGGCCTATTCAATGGCCAGCAATAGAATCATCTAGATTAAGAGCTAATAATTTAATTAACTCTTTTCAGCTGCAGAGTATTACGAAAAGTCCCTTCTCCGGGCTTTTAAAGGAAATGGAGCTGTCTTCTGAGTGCCTGCTATGCGTTAACTAATGTTTGTCTGTCTTCTCCGTGAGGCCTGGGGAGGGCTTGTCAACTCCTTTGCAGCTGAAAGAAGAGCGTGATTCAGCAGCTGATGGTCCAGTGATTTCCCATATTAGCTAAATGGGAACGGGAGAGGGGGTTTGGGCACGCTTCTCTGTTAGCAGGTTAATGAGGAGACGACCTCACGCTAACTTTCCATGCTGCCCCCCAGAGTGTGACAAGTTTAACCAATGTGGAACATGCACTGAATTCAAAGAGTGCCATGCCATCCATAACTACACCGTCTGGAAAGTGGGCGACTACGGCTCCCTCTCCGGGAGGGAGAAGATGATGGCAGAAATCTACACAAACGGCCCCATCAGGTGAGGAGAGAGACTGCTGCCAGCCGTGGGGACCCGAGCCATTTTCACCCGTCCTCCTGGCCAGCTTTACTCACTAGGCTGGGTGAGTTTTCTCAGAAGCAAAGCTCAGCTAACTTGCCCCTCGTAGGGTTGCTGAGTGAAGCGCACGGACACGCAAAGGCCCCAGAGCTGCAGGGAGTGCTGTAGGGACGCTGGCGCTGCTTCCGCAGCGCAAGTTTAGGCAGAATCCTCTGATTAGCTGAGTTGGATTTACACAGCTGTTTCTAAAGATGGTAAATTCTTTCCATTTAAAGTGCTAATTCTTTGTTTGCTCTCAGCTGCGGTATAATGGCAACAGAAAAGATGGCTAACTACACTGGAGGCATCTACGCTGAATACCATGACAAGGCCTTCATAAACCACATCGTTTCCGTGGTCGGGTGGGGTGTCAGTAATGGGACCGAGTACTGGATTGTCCGGAATTCATGGGGTGAACCATGGGTAAGATATTTCCACTGATTCTAACTTCGATGGTTCTGTTGGCTTTGTAGCTAAGAACTGTGGCCCTGAGCAGAGGGGCTTCTTGCTCCAACCCAGGAGCAAGCACGGTGACATTTGGGGTCTGGTACTTCTGTGTCGTGTGTGGCTGCCGCTGTCCTGTGCATCGCGTGTTCAGCAGCATCCCTGGCCCCTACCTACTAGGCGCTGATAGCTCCTTCTCCCTGTCCCCCAGTAGTGAGCACCACCAGTGTCTCCAGACATAGCCAAACATCTCCTGGGGAGAAATCACCCCGGCTGAGAAAGGCTGCTTTAGAAGTTTCAGTTTAGCCACCTATACAAAGATTTTTCCTGTCATAGTTTCGGCTCTCCTAAGTAATACCGTATAATTTTTTTAATAGTTTTGAGTTGGGTCAGACATCCAGGGGAGATAAATTAACTGCCAGAATTTTAATTTCTAAGACCTAGCGTTAACCATTAACAGTTTAAGACACAGAAATTCACTAATATGAAATGGGGGAAGTGATCCATGTCGAAGTGATGAAACGCCAGTTTTTATTAAATGACTACAAATGGGGATGTTCATAGGGAGTCCGGTTGTCTGGTCTAAAGAGTCAACATTTTAGTGACAGTGAGCTTCTGGCATAAGGGCCACGTACCCCTCATTAAATATTAACGCCGTTAAAAATTTAACAAAAGATATTTCTGAGTAGAGGTCCCAGGAAAGGGAAGGGGCAGCTAAGGAGGTGGTCTGGGTGCTGCATCCCCCACCTGAGGCTGGGTGATAAGGTGGAGAGGAGGCTCATTTTATAGCTGAGAGCAGAGGGAGAATTAGGAGATGGTGGTGGCTGAGCTAATGCATGACTCCTCTTCTCACTCCCAGGGTGAGCGAGGCTGGATGAGGATAGTGACCAGCACCTATAAAGACGGCAAGGGTAACTGTTACAACCTTGATATCGAGGAGTCCTGTACATTTGGGGACCCCATCGTTTAAGGCGGATGTCTCCGGAAGAGCAGTTTTTTAAGAAATGATATCATGAGTCCTAACCAGAGGGCATCCTATCGTTATGGGCACTGGGTTGGTACTGCCATGGTTTGAAGGAACAGGGGGTTGAGATTCTAATCAAATTGCTATCTGATGGCTGGTAACGGCACTCAGCACCGAGAAGGGGCACTTGTCAAAATGCAGACCAATCAGGTACTGGCTGAAAGAATATTCCTGAGAGGAGAGTCTACAGTGTGATGCCTTAAACACCTGCACAGGACTGCTCCCCTGCCATGATGATGGCCTCCATTTTCTTCAAGATGGTTCGGTATTTTCTATTTAGCAAGTGTGATTTATAATGTGGCATTTAAGAGGTAAAACAATTTAGACTTATCACCAGTTCTTATGTCACCTTGGAATCAATAGTGGGGACAGAAGGGGGAGATGGCAATTTCAGATTGCCCAAGTGATGAATAAAATATGACTGCACACAAGAACTGAGCCTGAACGTGCCTTATTTACACATGAAAACGTAATACCAGGATCTATACCTTCCAACCCAGAAAGCCTTTTTTTATTTGTTCTTGGAAAATTAAAACAATTACAATAAAATATCAACTAGCTAATTGGGTTCTTGTAAAAGACTTAAGTCAACTTTGAAAGTTCATTTAAGTGTCTGTTTCCGAATTCCCACCACCCTTGGGGCTGACACCTGGCTCCATCCTGAGAGGTAATGTGAACCTAGTTTCTATAATGGGGGAAAGAATACTGTAAACAGGATTTAGGGGTGGCCCTGGATTTACAAGAAGGAGAGGGGACCATTCAGAATAGAAATGAATAGAATTCACGTATACTGCTAACATCTTCCTTTTTAAAAAAGTTATCCACCTCCTCCCAGCAGAGCCCATTTCCAAGCTGCTAACTGAGCCTCTTCAAACAAGTTTCTGGAAAGGACTTTTCCAACAACTGGTCTGGAATGTTCCACTTCAGCTCTGGAAGATGCTCTAAATTAGTTCACCAGGATGAAGTTAGACTTGCAGTGAGCTTTAACAAACAGAAGGAAAACAGTCACTGGGTTAGAAACAGGAGGTAAAAAATGACATTTAAAATTGTAGCAAACGGACATTCATGTCAACCATACCTATAAATTCCGTCACAGGGTCATGTTCGCCTTCTGTTTTAATGGTGCCTGCGATGCTATCGTTTTCCAGGATGGGGAGGAAAAGCTGCACAAAGTCAGAGGTGTACGGAGGAGCAATAACATCCAGCACCTACGAGGAGAGAAAGCCAGGTCACCCTCCCGGCACAGGCCGTGAGCGGCATCGCACCAACACGCTGAAGAAACGGCAGTTAGGAGAAAACCCCCCTCCTCTCCCCGCTTTTTGCTTCCCGGTGCTAATACCAGCTTCCACCATTAAGACACCCAGGTGGTAATGGAAGCAAAGCACATAATACAGCTCCTGCAGGCAGGAGGTGCTTCGTAAATTGCTATCTATGTCATTGTTATCACCATGATTATCAGAAAGCACAGTGCTCCGAGTCAGGTACAAAATGAACTGAATTAAGCCGGAAAGGGCACTGCTGGTGTAAACAGTATGAAACATGAAACGAACAGTACGCTGCTGACCTCAGTCACAAAATAGCGAATGAGGGAAATGTCCGTGTCCAGCTTCTCCAGGCACCTACGGATGTAACTGACAACAGGAAGTACATAACCTCGACTCAGCAGGTGCACCATCCTGTCCAACAGGGTCTTCTTCAACTCCAGCTACAAGAGCGGGGGCAGCAAAGTCCATTAGAGTGGGGTCCTCGCCCCAAGCTGCATGACAGACCCCGCGGGCCACTTGCTCACCTGCTCCATCACATCCAGCTGGGAGTGCTCAGTCTCAAAAAGCTTGACAAGCAGCTGCAGGACCTGGGGGTGCAGGAGCTGGTGGCAGGTGCTGATCTACGAACGGGCCAAAGGGAGCCTCACTGAGCACTACGGTCAGGTCTCTGGGCTCAGCGTGAGCACACAGAACTGCCATCACTGTCACAGCCACCAGACAGCTTATTGCTGACAATGGCGGTCCTCAACACTCGGCCCAGGGCTGGTCAGCTTCTGTGCCATTCCTCATCCTTTCAGAGACACTTCATACAAACTGAGAAATCTACAGAGTTAATGAAACTAGTTCCTTAAAAGGAAAATCCTCCTTTAGGATAGAAATAACTAGGTTTGAAAAGAGTATCTCCTGAACACACTGAATACGTGTGCTGGAAGTGCAGTCACGAACAGTACAAGGCACAGACAGAGAGCACGCTGTGAAGGGCCCTGCAGCCTCCTACCTCGTCCAGCAACGCCAGGTGTACAGGCGTATGATCCGTCTGCAGCTGGAAGTACCTGGGTTCTGATACAGTCCAGTCCACCCATTTCAGCACACCCATTGCTACCACTGGAAACCTACAGGCAAATAATGCTTCCTTAAACAAGTTTTTAAAAACAAAACACACCAAAATTAAATGGTTACAAAGGTTTAAAAAACAACAATGAACTCAATCTAGCCCATCAATTCACTCTTCAATATGGTCTGCTAGGGAGAGGCCAGGGAATGAAAACAGCCTGATGAGATCAGCATCCTCTCACACGTGCAGTGCGAGAACCCAACTCGCAGCTGACTTTAAACCACTTTCCTGGTTTAAAAGGAAAAGATCAGTAATGCAAAACAGTGAGCTTAGTGGACTAGGTTGAAGTTTACTTGTATTTAGCAAATCCTTTCTTTGTCCCTAGTACAAATTGCAGGGGCAAGATCAAATGCCTAAGAGGACACCCTATTTGTAAGCTTTTCTAGTGAATACTTATTTATATAATTGGCATAACTGCAAATCACTTCTATCAAAGTAATTCTTTGTCGGTCTTTTACTGTAAATAGACCCTTTTCTGCAAATCAATTTTTGTAATTCTGGTTGGTCTTCCTTTTTCTTTTTTTTTGTGAGGAAGATACACAGCCCTGAGCTAACATCCATGCTAATCCTCCTCCTTTTGCTGAGGAAGACCAGCTCTGAGCTAACATCTATTGCCAATCCTCCTCCTTTTTTTTTTTCCCCCAAAGCCTCAGTAGATAGTTGTATGTCATAGCTGCACATCCTTCTAGTTGCTGTATGTGGGACACGGCCTCAGCATGGCCGGAGAAGCGGTGCGTCGGTGCGTGCCCGGGATCCGAACCCGGGTCGCCAGTAGTGGAGCGCGCACACTTAACCGCTAAGCCACAGGGCTGGCCCTGGTCTTCCTTTTTCTTAAGTCTAATTTGTGAACAGACTTCTGGCAAGTAAGCACCTGAAGATAACTCATGCTGCTAAAACAGTTTAAAGTTCTCTGCATATGTTTTAAAAAGAAAAAATAAATAAAATGAATAAGTATCTCTGAAGCTTTGTTACATATTTTTTGAGCTTTTAATATGAAAACCCAAGCCACTTCTTCCAACAAGGATTAAGTTTAGAAACAAGTTTCATTTTGCTTACCTAATACACTGATAAAGTGTACTCAACTCTGCCACTAGTTCAGAGGCCCCTTTGTTCTCATTGCAACACAAATTATGAACAGTTTCAACAGCTTTCGATGTTGACTTCAGCTCATCTTTATTGATGCTCACTCGCTTGTTCTGAAAACACACACAACAGCGGGTGAACGCTGACGGAGCACGTGTCCTTGCAGCTGGGGTAATCTGGTATCGGCCACTTCTCTCTGCGAAGCGCCTTCCCTCTCTCTCAAGTCAGAGTCAATTTACTTGTCAAACTCCACAGTCGCTCAGCATATAGAAACTGAAGACCAATGAGACCGGTGTTTGTCTGTGGCTTAGGGAAGCCAGTTTCATTTCTTTAGTCACACTTCAAATTAGAGTCTGAATAAGTAGTATAAAGGCTATGCACATTTTCCTAAGACATTTTCCACTTGGACTATTTTATGCATAATCACTAGAAAAGATATTTCTGAGACTAGATGGGCTCATGATTTCTTGCAGCCAAAATTCTCGACTACTACCAAGGAACAGAGGTTACCTGTCTCCCTAAAAGTCCCTAAACTCTCCGCACTGCCAGTACCTTCTTCCAGGTCTCCACCACGCTTGCTGCATAAGCCAAGATGTGGATGTACTTGTGCTTGTGGTCCTGGTTGATCCTGGCCCCTGGTTTAAAGAGTGACTGCATAAACAGGTCCAGGAAGGCTGGGACCCGGATCTGAGGAGAAACACAACCCACAGAAAGGAACAGAGGAGAGAGATGGCAGGTGAGGCCACACCCACTGAGGGCAGCAGAGAGGCATGCCGCCCACACCCCCCGCACTGTGCTCTGCCCAGCAGGTGCTCTAATGTGTGCAGCTCCGAGAGCGTGATGGGGAAGGACCAGGAAAAGGACTGAAACATTTCTACAGGAATTTGCACTCACTCACTCAAGAGAATTAAGAGAAACATGGACTTTCCAAAATAACCCTTCCAATCAGTACTGGGGGTATCCCATCTTATTATTAAAATGCAAAGCAACTTACAAGTTCAACAGGAGGCGGGTCCATGCTTGTAAACATCTTGAACAAGACTGTGATGTCGGCCGGATTCAGGGCTCCTTTGGACAACATAGCCCCAAGGGCCTGACAAGCCCTCGGATAGGAGGCAGCTGTACCTAATGCTAGTGTGATCTGACTGGCATCATGGCCTCTTGATGGAAAAAAATCAAATATCCACTGGTCATAAGGTGCGATATATCGTTAATTACCCTTCCCTTCCCTCTCCTTCCCTTTTTCACATTAAATACCTTGAATTGTTGGGATCCCTTTGTTTTTTCATGTTCCTGTCATTCACTGGTATAATGACTGACACATGAAAACAACATTTGGAGCTAACTGGGAAGGAATACTTCAAATACAGCTCACAGACTTTCTAAAAGGAACCACACACTTTTTAAATATCTCACTAAGATTCCATTAGTAGAAAATAAAGATAATAACAGCTAACTTTGTTCTCTAAGATATGGACTACAAAATAACAGACTACTGAATACTACTGACTTCAAGACTATTGTTATTTGCTATTGATGAACACTACTATAGGAAAATACAGGTTCATAAATCAAGTGAATTGAACAATAATCAAATACTTTACAAAATATTCATCAAAGCAATACTTTAGAAAGCAAGCTCTCTACATGTATTTAAAATTACCCTGACTTTTCCTGCTGTACTGGATAAAAGGAAGTTTACCTATAGGTCAAAACAGGAGGACCTAGAGTCTTTGGTTGTGGAAATGGGGCAGTGGGTGTGATTTTGGGGAGAGCACCTAGTGAGGACTAGGGTAAGCAGAAACACCGCCTCTCACTTCTCCTGGGCGAAGCGCTGAACTTCCTGAGCGATCCTGCGCACGGCGGAGCCTCCTTGCTCTTCCTGGGCCAGCACGGACATCATGGCCTGGGCAAACAGGTACGTGTGTTCCCCGTGGCACACCATTTTCTGGAAACCGAGAATTTGGGG